TACTATGGAAAAGGTCAGTGGTTCAAACAACATGACAGCTTAATCACAGGTACAGGCGTGACAACAAAGTACAGAAATGCATCATATTGTTAACAGTCATTACAAACTTAAGGACAGAGGAGGACCTTACATCAAAGGGACACTTCTCGTTCAATAAAGGCGTAACCCCAATATTCTGGTTTTAAGGCACAATTATAGCTTTTAAGAGAACATACACCTCATACTTTGTCAGTGCAATTAGAATGTCCAATTATAGTGTTATAAAAGTTAAAGGGAGAAGAATAAATCTGATTCTGAAATATGGAGGCAGATTACCCGTCCTCACTCACAACACACAGTACACAGTGGACTGCCAAAGAGGAAAGCTAGCGAAGAAACCATCGTAAGACACAGAAATCTTTGATAAAAGGACATCATATTCTTTTCTTTTTTTTAAATTAGCCAAAGTGTAAAAATCAGTAGGCTTATTTACAAGCAGCAGTGCACATAAATACATTTGATCTTAAAATAATTTGTCGAAGAGACTTGTGTAAACAAAGGCACACTGAGGAGTGTGTGCTTACCCGCATGTGCAGCTTGGTTCACAGTACTAAAAATACGGCACTGGAGCTGAAAAAGTTAACGGTTAAAAGAAGAAAGAAAAATAACTGCCAACTATTTTGATCATTTTTTTTCAGTAGAAAGTCAAGCAGAAATGTCAGAGATTAGCTGGTTTTAGCTTTTTGAATTGAAGAATGTGCTGCTTTTCTCTGTGATTTATGAAAGTAAATGAAGAGTCTCTGTGTTGTGTTATTGATTGGTGAGTAGCAGCTATTTGAAGACTCTGAGAAATTGTGATAATCTTTAAAAATATATTTATTTTATCGCCTAAGAGATGGCTCAGCAGATTGATTAGTGGTTATTGCTGGTCGCAGCCTTATTCAGCAAAGCACACTTTTATTCTGCCCCTTAAAAAACATCTGTTCATATAAAGAAAATATATAACCAATTGTTTGGTCAGCTGAGATCTGGGAAGGCAGAGAAGGGTTTTTACTTTGCAAATACAACGGCCAACATTTATCTGTTTAAATGCTAACTTGTAAACAATCTACTTGAATATTTGAATTCTCTGTCACAACATGTTACTTGCAGGTCATAGCAATTAATTTGGTTGAGAAGAAGATAGAAACTACCACAAGAAATGTGCTTAAAAAGGTCAGTGCACCTCAGATACCTGAAAAAGGTTGAATTTGCCTGACAGGAGTGATTTACAGTGCAGCAGGCATTTCAATGAGTACCTGTGTGTTTAAACTTTACTTATGTTGCGTTTAGATCTCTCCACTTTCAGAGTTCCCCTCTTAGTCGGGTGTGCAGGTCTTCCTGGTCGATCTTGCCGACTTGTTTGTGCCAGCGGTGGTGTGCCAGCAGGGCGACGTTCCTGGCCGAGATGGCGCTCATCTCCATGGCACTAGCCGCCCACTCCACAGCATTGAGGTAGTACAGCCGGTTGTGCAGGATGAAGGGAGGAGTCTTCCTGTGTGGCGGGCTGTAAGAAGGATAAGCTAGCCAGCGAGTTTCAGACACAGAATCTCGGGACAGGAACATGTCCTTCAGCTGCTCCTGGGACAGCGGCTGAGGGGAGAACACCTTCCACACTTTGGTCTGGCTGGCAGGGGGGCGCTTATAATCAGGAGGGATGTGAACAGGGTCGACAGAGCTCAGGGTGTGGATGACAGAGCCCTTTGAGTCCGTGGTGAGTATGTCAGACACGGTGAACTTAGAGGCCGGCTCAGTGGTCCCGAGGTAGGACATGTTTAGCATACCGTGGACCAGAGTGGAGACGGTCTGTTGGAACCGCCCCGGGTAGTGAGACGGGATAGGAGGGGAGAAGCCGGAGAAGGCGATGTCAGACTTTCCCTGGTGAAGCGGTGTCGCTATTACCACGATGTCATACAAAGCATGTGCTGAGCCTGATCCATCCACATAATTCACTTCATAGAAACTGGAGGCGGGGCCTGAAAATGATGAAATGTTTGACATATTAAAAGTGTGAATATACATATTAGGGCTGAGCCGTTAGTCACAATTATCCCAATATGAGTGTTGGCACATTACAAAAGTCTTAATTTATTGCACTGAATAAAAAAAAAAAAGTTATATTTAAACAAGCAATTGCATTCTCACTCAGCATGTTTACAGCTGAGGCCATGGTTTAGTGTCTATGCTTTCACATGACTGTGATTAAGTCAGATGAAGCTCAGCTAGCTGTCAGCTACACTCAGATTAATTGGGGATCTAGTGAGGCATTAAAACAGCCGATTTTTGGATTTATTTTGGATTCAGGTATTGTGTGAAACATGATGAACAGCTGGGTTGACATAGAAACTGTGAGTTCTAGCAAACATTTACCCTCAATTTTCTGTTAATGTATTGCACTTCATATCATTCTTGCAATATTAAAAGATGTATTGTATATTGTTCTCTTACTGCAGGCCTACTGCACAAGTGTAAAAAAAAAAAAAAAAAAAAAAAGGGATATGATGGTACCTGTCTTAGATGGTCGAACCTTGACTGAAATAGAGGTGACTTTGGCAGGGATGAGCTCACTTTTACTGTGGTAAAGCAGACCTGAGCACACTTTCTTATTGCCTCCATCCACTGCCCACAGACCTGAATCTGTTCCAGCTAACGACACCGCCCCTACAAGACAAGACAAACAATTATTATATTAACTTATTCATGATTTACAAAGACTCGTAACAGATTTATATGGCTAACAAACTAAACTCTTACATTGTACAACATACCCACAAATCCATTGATGCGTACACTTTGGCCGTAGTTGACACGGGTGATGGGTGCGACAATATCGTTGAGGAAAACCTGTGAAAACCCTTCACCTATCATCGTCTCCTCCAGGGTCTGATTCATCAGGGTGGGAAAACTATCGCCTCCCATAGCATGCAGGAGCCTCTCCACAGAGGAGAATGAGTAGCCATATTGCTGATACTGGTAGATCCTGTAAATACAAAGGAAAGTTTATTATAGTTGGGACACCAAAAAGAACAAGGAACATGGATCTCGTGCCAGAACAATAAAACCGCTCCTCCTCCTCACCTCATGAATTTGTCCAAAATACTCTCAACCCACATCTGCATACGAAGGAAGTTGAACCCATATCGCCAGAGGAGGCGCAGGAAATTGATTATAAACCAGTCGCTCTCTTCAAACGTGAGTTCCTTTCCGTCAAAGATCGCCATTTTAGAGTGGACATCTTTCCTCGGAGGAATACCTGGTTTACGAACAGAAACACGTGCTTTCAGGTTCAAATATTCGGAACTACAGAAAGCCTAAAAATGTTCTTCTTTTCGTGCTGAGTCCACTTAACACCACAAACATTGACTTTACCTAATTTTTCTATGAAGTGCTTCATGTGTAGGTTCAGAGGATGGATCATGGCGCCTCCTGTCTCATACTCATGATCTCCCACCTTCACTGTCGCTAGTCGCCCGCCGACAGACTCAGGTTCAAACACATCAATCTTGACTCCAGCTCCAAACTCCTGTCTCAGGTAGAATGCTGCAGCTGTGCCACCGATGCCCGCTCCCACCACAGCTTTACAGGAGCAACAACAGACACATTGTAAACAAACTCTTGCAGCAAGCTCAGCTGGATGAATCCTCTTTAGGTTATTTTAGATGTTAATATGTCTTTCTTTTTTTAATTTCTTATAGAAAAATCAAGCTAAGAAGTCAAATACATTCGTCTAACATCTGGATTCAGTTAAGTTGTAGGTAAATACATAAAACTATAATGTTAAATTTGCATGGATCAAACCAAGACAAACTGAAAAGATGCGCTAAATAACAATATCATGTCAAATTATGATACATGTCTGACAATGTTTAAGGAGGCAGCCTTCAAGATTATTACTGAAAACAAGAGTCAGATTTTTCTGTCTTTCTGCAAGCAAAGATGAGTGATGTGTGTTTGTTGTCTCATGCACCATTCGGACTGGCATACCTATCTTTTTGGGCGGATCTTGCAGATCTGGAGCTGAGGCTAAACTTCTTCTCCCCGTGTGCCAAAGCCCGAGGAGGAGCAGGGCTCTGAGTGAAAGAGTCCGTGGATTCATCGTGGGCATCCAGAACTACACTGCAATAAAGACCATCTGTAGAGGCAGAAGAGACAGGGACCATGACTAGTTCACCATGGCTAGTTCACCTATTCATTTCAAGTCACTATCAGGGTGGGTCAAAGGTTGCTCTTACAGCACTTCATATTTACACAGAGCAGAATACAAAACAGAGACGTTACTTATAAAAAAAACAACAAAAAAAACAGTTTTAAACTTTTAAACTTTACAATGAGAAAATGTCCAGGAGTAAAGTGTACAGTGTTGACTCACTATCTCTCATAAGTCACTACAGGAGGTCCAGAGGTTAACCTCTCCGTCACACTTCAGGATAAGTTTGACGCTTCGTGAAATGTTCTCTTACGGACACGAATTGAGAAGCTACACTGTAAACAAAACACACTAAACACTGTATTTGACAAATAAAAAAAAAACACTACACAGGTTTATCGGCTTCCTCACTGTCGGAGGACCGTGAACGTCTCCTAATATTGAGACACACTTCCGGGAACGCTTGCTTGAGATTTTCACAATAAAAGCCGTAACACTATGTTACAATCAATGGGCGAATGGGATGCATGAAGGTCATTTAATGTTTTTGATGAAAATTGTTTTTTGATGAAAATTGTTTCATTTTATTTTCTCTGAAACAGATAAATACTTATCTGAAGAGGAAGGGGGTACTTGTCATCTCGTTATTTCTCAAAATAGATTAATATTTTGATAATGATTTAAAAAAAAAACAGTGCATGAGTAAAGCTCCATTATATACAGTATATTATTATATATTAATATAATTTAACCGAACCTGTCTAAAATCCCGACTCTGCTAGGAGTTAATTTGAAGTCTGAGAAGCAAAACGGAAGACGATTATTATTTTCTAAAATCGGTTGCGGAAGTAGAGCGGAAGCCGGGCATCCCCTCTTCTCGAACCATGCTTGAATGGAGGTGACCTTAGTATTTTTATCAAATAGTGAAGTGAAACAAATTGGGCAAAGCTCTCCCTCCTCCGCTAAGGTGAATCACGATAGTCAGGTCCGGTTTGGATTCTAAATTGTCTTGAATATCAGTGAAGACTGCAGCAAAGTAGCAGAAGTAACAGATATGGCAGAAGCACATCAGATGCGCATGCAGAATGAGGTGGAAGAGATGGTCCAGAGCCTGGAGAGGGACCACATCCGTAAAATGCAGGTAGGCGTCTTTATTGATGACATCAGCTGAGCAGTGTGATCTGTGCATTATCTCTCTCACATGTCTGATCGGTGTGTTCATCCTGCAGGGTCGCATGTTCAGCTGCAGCGCAGAGTGCTGTGACCGTCCCTCAGACTCCATGTCTCAGGTGCATCAGTGTATCGACAGGTGTCACACTCCCCTGGCCAAAGCCCAGGGACTGGTCACCTCAGAGCTGGAGAAGTTTCAGGTGAGAAAGTGCCATCTTCTCCCACCATCAAACTTTTGCATTCCTGTCAACTTTTAGTATGTGGCATACAACTGCTGCTCTATCATCCTGTATGACAAGGTTATGTTTCAGTTCCGAGATCTTCATCAGCAGTAAACATTTGTATTTGCTCAGTCATTGCATGCTGTATTTGTTTAATGCATTTTCCTCAAAGTCAGACCTATATGTACCTCAATGCCACTTAAACTGAAGGTCATAAGTATCCAGCACTTGCTTGATGAGACAGATTTCTAAAGACTTTCTGGACCAAGTTATAGATTGAATTGCTTAGTCAAATAAACACGTGCTGCTGATCACATCGTTGAACGCTTCATTCAGCCATTGGAAGTTAAACAAGTGCATAAAGTAATAAATGAAGGGGAAAAAAATGCACATTATTATGGTTAAAAAAAAAAAAAGTAGGCAGAAATAGAAGCAAATAAAATAGCAATAAGAGAGAGAGAGAGAGGGTAGGGGTTCTTCACTGCCTCACTTACACACTCAATCTTTTTTTTTTAATCTGTATTCAATGGTACCCATAAGCTGTTATAGTTATCAACGAATGGGGTCAAAATCTCCCTAAAGTTTAAGAGCCTTAAGTCATGTTTCTTATTTTCTCTAGTTTTTGGAGAACGTGTAGTGTCTCTAACCGATTGAGGGAACATATTTCAGGAGTGTGCCATTAAAAATAAAAATTGGCTTTTGGAATGATGTCTGTTGAAAACATCTTGATTCTAAACCTTTGACCCCCTCAGGACCGTCTGACCAGATGCACGATGCACTGTAACGATAAGGCGAAGGATCTCTTTGACTCTGGCGCTAAGGAGCCGGCGGTTCGATCGCTGGTGGAACGGTGTGTGGGTAGCTGTGTGGACGACCACATCAACCTGATCCCCAGCATGACCCGCAGACTCAAAGAGAACTTGGACTCTATACCACAGTGAGGACGACTATGGCCTGTCCTATAGACGGCCTGAGTTCTTTGCACTCACATCAAAGCTAGTGTGGGGTTAATAAACTCAGCCAGTGTGAGCGTGAAGCAACAGAAGAACAGGGGGCTGGAACACCGTGAAGGGTGGGGGAGTGAAGTTTAAAATGGATTATGTGATCCAAAGGAGAGTTGTATCACGTTTGAGAAGCACTGGAGCTGGATGTTAGTGTTAGTGTCAAGATTTAAAGTGCGTTCTGTGAGGTTTGTTTTTGTACTTTGTGTAATCGGCAAACAGAACCCTCCCTGGATACCGGGAGCTGGACGTTTGTTAGATCAGGAACTCATCTTGTGTCAAATCATTGTTTGTTGAAACTCAAGGTGCTTTGCATTTTAAGGAGACCTGAAAAAGTGCTTTCTTAAACAATTGCATAACCGAGTGACACGTTTTAAAATAGTCCAATCAACATGATTCTAATATATATATATGCATCAAACCTTTCCATATTTAATCCAAAGTGTTCCTCCTGTATGATCCCTCTCATCCCTCCTTCTTCTCTTGTCATTTTGCTGAGTTGTTGTGTAATCTTCCGACCGCCCATGTTAGGTTTGTCTGTCTGGATTAAAAGTACTGTAAAAGTATCTGCGTCTGGACGGCGTTACTTCCATACCATCAAAAAAAAAACTCATCTGTCTGAGGCGAGACGGTGACAAGTCAAAGTTACTTTTCAGTTTTAATGACTGCCAAAGAATATTCTCATTAAGTACAAGCGCTTGTGAAGGAAAGATAACAGGAAGATATTGTACATGAACAAATTTGTCATGTAATAAATCAGTTTATATGTATTGTATATTTACATGTTGTAATATTACAGCAGGTCAAACGTATTATGCATCCAATTTGAATTCATATTGGCAAAAGATATCAGATATTTCAGTTAAGATATCCTTAAAATAAACATTACAGCCAGCCTGAGAATAAGATCATAATAATAAGAATAAGAGAACTCTGAACTAACTTTCTGATAAAAGATTAGTAAAGCCAACTGTTAGCAGGATGTGAGATAACTGTAATGTTTTTCAAAATTATATCTATTTTTATTTCTTTAAAACAAAAATAAATGTAGAATATTAATCAGAATTGCTTGAAGAAAACAATCCTCAGAAAGAAAGCTCTCAGTAGTACTATTATTATCAAGAGAAATCACTGTTACAGAACTGACCATACAGAGGAGATGACTGTAGAAAAAAAAAGGTTATTGAATAATTACAGCTTTGGGGCGCTGGACAGACGAGCAGTAATGACGTGCACCCCATGTACAGAGGCTGTAGTACTAGTTACAGATATGGGTTTGAATCCGACCTCTGTCCTGTGCTGCATGTGATCCCCCTCTCTCTCCTCCCACATTTATAGTCTCTCTTCAGCTGTCCTATCTTTTTATATATATATATATATATATATATATGGTCCTAAATATAAATGACAAATTAATGATTAGAGCTTAGCCTAAAGTCTGCTAGTTATTCTCCAACATTATCTGGTAGAGATCATCGTGCGGGACCGATAACAAACTTACTCTGGACCATATTGTGTGGAATATGTTGGAAAGGGAATTTTTTTCCAGAGATAATCTGGTAAATAATACATGTTGATGTAAAGGAGTGATCACGCCTAAAGGTCTTAAGAGGTAAGTAGGAGACTATCCAGATAATGTTTACTGATTTTATTATAATACACTTTCCAGACAGCTCTGTTAAAATATGTTACTGTAAACAAGTCGTTCAGAACCTTTAGAAAACAGATTATGAGGGGGAGCAACATAGAAAGCTTCAGAAGAAAGAAAAACAGTTGAGCTGTAAAAAGATCTACGTAGGAAAGAGAGATCATGTCATAGCACCACAGCCCACATGAAGGGGCAGTTTTATTGGCTGTCGAGTATTGTGTACATGTTTTATTTTGCAAAAAAAATATATTCATACAAATACAAATGAAGTAAAAAATAAATAAATGTCAAACGAAAAAAAATAAACAACAATTTAATGACAGTAACAGTTATACAGGCGAGTCATACTGACTAGTCAGCTGTAGATGTCTTGTTTTTTTAAACATGAGGTAACAGATTTTCCAAAACTGCCAAACAAATATAGACCTGAACAGTAAAAAAGAAAAGTGTACATCCAAAAACCCACAAAGGTAATGTAAAAGGTGATACAGTTTAAATAATGAGCCTGAATGTGACAAACTGAAATGTGCTGCTAAAGTGGAGAAGCAGAGTCCTCTTAAGACCAATACATGAACATTTTAGGATCTAGATCAGCTGGTAAACACAACAGAAAGTCTCGAGTGATTCAACATATCTGTGTTTAAACAGAATGGTATGAATATCCGAGTGCTGGTGTCAAATTTTCTGACGTCTGACTTGAGGAAACGTTATCAGTGTTAACTGTGGCTCTTGATCTCCTGAGTATCTCAGAAGTCTGTAGGCTGAGGCTGGTTGTGATCACTTGTTTCATTTGAAGCAATGTTTCTTCTGGTCTAAAGGTTTACACATGTAATTGTAAGTTATATGTTATTTACACAGTCCATTGGATACTTGAACGCTGGTTATGAATCTCCCAACACGGAAGCTGTTCTGGTGCAAAACAGCACCGAGACGTGGACGTACTAAGATGAAAGAGTTTTTAAACACATCCTGCTTGTACTGCATCGTCACTTTAATTTGAAGTCTGTCGAGTGTAGTCATAGGCCACTGTCCAGCGATCGTGCTAGAGTGTAGGTGTGTGAAGAAGAAGGTGTAACGTTGGATCTCTGTCAGCTGATAACCAGCAGAAGAAGTTGGTGATGATGTGATTCACCTTTAATTTAAATATTTTTTAGTTTGCCCCGTGTCATTTGGATAAGGCCACGACATGTCATATGTAATTTATCTGTCAGGATCGTTTACGACATTGTTGGTGTACGTGGTGTTTTGTTTGCTTCTTGTTTTTTTGTGTCGATTAGTAATAGTGTTTAATACACCAATATTGTGGCGTATTAAAGGCGAGTTTTCAAGTGCAACACGATTCCCTTATAATGTTCCCATATTACAGGACCTTAATGACTCCACACACACAGCTGAACAATTCCAGAATGGTTCCATTAATGCAAGTCTGAGTCACACTGATGCACTGTCCACCAGTCGTCAGACCTTTAAGTCATAAAGCATGAATTAAAGCGCTGGAGAGTAGAGTCCAATTCAGAATTCCATCGTCTACAAAGACTTTTTCATCTTAAGAAATTATCCAACATCTCGGTGTTGACAGTTCTGAGGTCCAAGGTGTGGAGCTGCTCTGGAGGTAAAAAAAAAAAAAAAGGCCCATTTCTTTCTGGCCAAAGTCATGTTACTTGTTTACCCCATTTATACTCAGCTGAGTCTGAATGTGCCAAAACACTGAATACATAGACACTAAACATTCTCCCTCCTTGGGAGAGACAGCATGCAGGTGATATGACTGATCGACATCAGGGATGTTAAATGTGGCAGTGGATTTTACTCATGAGCTTGTGTTAGTGTCTCAGTATTACCAGATGAATAGTCGCAGTTGACAGCTGCCAAAGAGGCATCAGGACACACAGCGAGCACTGCTTTCTTGTTCTGAGGAATCTGCACGTTGGTCCGACTGAGGCGATGTATACACGAAGTTACAGCACACATAGAGAGGGAACGATAACAACCGACTGTCCAGGTTCATCACCACATACTCCTGAGCGGATGAAAGGAAAGGAGGAATATTAAGCAAGTCAACACTACTACAAGCGTATACATGTTTATGGCTTCAAATTGATCTGTCGACATGTAAATATTGCTCTCTGACCTGGTCTTTCTCAAGGGTGAGGAGCTGGTAGCCGGTTGAGCGGCTGCAGACCAACTTTCCACGGCTATCAAAAGAGGCGAGCCGTAACCTGAACACATAAAAGAAGTCAGAAGAAGAACCCTTTAAAAAGATAAAACATGTTCATTCTAAAACAGTTTCTAAAGCATTTCTTTTGAGGGTTTCTAACTCTAAATTTGAAGGGAAATAAGTTTTTTTTTTTTTTCTTGTTTAGAGTTTCAGGAGATAATGTATACAGTACTACACACAGGCTTGAGCTAAACAATATGAAGCAACAACATGCAGCTGGCTAACAATCCTTTAGCATAGAGAACAGATAAATGTATCTCTCAATCACAAATTAAAGGTTTGTGATAAAGACACAGCTGTACACGTCACTTTGATACATGTTCAAAGGTCTACTGTACCTATAGGCCAGATGCCTTCGAGGTTGTAGGCTAACAGCACCCCCACATGGCTGACTTAGAGTATTTCTTTTGAAGACTATGAAGCGGTTCGTGTAGGTCACAAGCAGATCGAAACCAAAGTTAAAGCCAGTCCACCGCCAGCAGTACTGAGGAGAGCAATATAAAAGAAAAGACATTAAAGAAAATACAAAGAAGAGTAGCAAAAGTGACAGAAGCATCAAGAATGTCTGACTCACATCTCCATCTTTAGTCAGTTTCCTGCCACATCTCATACTACTCAGCTCAAACTCCTCTTTGTTCGCTTCCTGGGGACTAAGGAAAGGAAAGTTTGCTTTTATAATATTAACAGCATTACAGTTGTATCATGTATAAAGGTTTTGCTAATTAAACGAAGATGCTGCAGGGGATGAAAAACACAAGCAGGATCTCACCCGTTATCGTTGTCGAATTCTGTCCGCAGCATAGCAAACCACTGGTTTTTGTATACTGACGTTAACCAATCTGGAATCAAATAATATTATAGGAGCATAAACACACGGAAGAGATCATTCTCAGTGATTTTTACCATCAAGGCAAGTCATGTATTTGTTAGAGTTAAGAAGGACAACACTTACTGATCTAAGAACTAAGTTAAAAATCAAATGCTCCCTGTTTTTCTCTCAAGTCACATATCCCATGAAAGCCCATGCAAACTGAATTGAAATGAAATAATTCACTTAATTGTTACATACAAGAAAATTAAATGATGAGTAATGTTTTCCAGAGAAAAGGAGATGCACAGTCCTGATAAAATTATACCAGGCAGAAGAACATCTTACCAGGGGGCAGAATATTATCTCTCTCCAGGATGCGAGCAGATGCCAGGTCGTTGATGATATACTGTATACGAACGTATTTGAACACTGAACGAAATGCTGTGCCCTCCTCTGTGTCCAAGAAGGGCTCCTTCTCACTCAGGTCTATGATAGAAACAGGGTCGAACAATTGATGTGTGACGAGCGGCAAAAAGAAGACTGCAGTGCTTACAGAGGTACGTTTCATTAAACTGTTGCCTTCCTGTACCTGTCCTGCGTTTGCAAAGCCAGGCGTCAGCGTCAGCCAGAAGCTGCTTGATGGGACCGTCCCACGCCGGATTGAGCTGCAGGAACATCCACTTCAGAGAGAGAAAATGACAAAGAGCGTGTTTAGGAACAGGGCCGATGGTACGGCGTGTGTATCAGGGGTTTATAAAGACAAGACATTTTGGATGTACCTTTTTCAGAGCTGTGTATACATCCATCTCTACCTGCATGACAAACAGGTCAGAGGACTGGATGAGCTGCTCCATCACTTCTGACCTGTAAATGCACAGGTATTTATTTA